TTGTCAATAAACAGTCCAGTGCCTGTTCCGAGCCCTGGGTGCGCCCGTTCTTGGCTGTTGGGTGAGGGTGTCTCCGCACAGAGGAAAGGGCGTCCAGGAGAGGGGCCGGGGGATGGGGCGGGGCTGAGATGTGTCTGCCACCATCCTCCTCTGTGCCAGGGGCCCTCCCCGCCAACCCACTGTGGATCCTGCCCGTCAAAGGAGTCCTAAAAACCAGAGGGTGGTCCCAGGGGAGGGACCATTGAGACCCCAGCGCAGCCCACAGCCCCTGCATCTCGGGAGGCCCTGGAGGCCTTGGCCTCCGCCCTGGGCTCCTGCTGGCCCCTCTGGACACAGAGAAGCTCCCACACCCCCAGGCCTAGCTGCATACACAGGCTCTTCTGGGCGGAGGACCGGCTGAGTGAGAGGCCAGCATGGGCGCCAACACGCAGGGAGCCAGGACAGCCCCCCCCGCCCGCTCCACGGCCGGCACCTCCTGAGCACCAGGAGACGAGGACAGGCCCCCGGCCTTGCCGAGCCCACCCCCCTCCGACTCTCACCTCACTTCACCCACATGGATCCCAGGGAAGGACCCGGCCCCCCCACAACACTCCTGTGAGCCTCACATGCCAGCCCTGCACCCACACGGTCTGCAGTGACCCCAACAGCGCCACCCACCGCCAACCATGGTGCCCCACGTGGGCAAGTGCATTGCACATACTCTCCTGACAGCCTCGCTTGGCCTGACCTCTTACCCAGGCCACCCCGAACCCTTCCTCCCCATCACCTGAGCCACAGGATCCAAGATGGGCATGGAGAGGACACCCACCCCCCTGCCGGAAGCCCGCACGCCTCACACTGCTTCATCCTGGGACCCCAGCCTCCCCAGTCCAACCCTCCCTGTCAGCTGCATCCACAGATGGACAGACAGGCACATACATGGACAGAGACACACACACTGATGCACAAGGACAGACACACACAGAGACACACACACATGGACACACACGGACATACGCAGACACAGACAGAGGGACACACAGAGATACACACAGGTATCTACACATGGACACTGCACAGACACACACACAGGCACAAACAGACACACAGAGACACACATATGGATACCTACACTGACACACATGGACACAGGCACACATGGCACAGACACTGGAACACATGAACACACACGTGTATACACACAAGGACACACACACAAACACACAAGGACACACACACCTCAGAGCAGGCTACTGGCCCTGTTTCAGAGCCTGAAGGCTGCAGGGATCAGAGCCAGGGACCAAGCCCCCCCCCACCCCAAGCCCCAAGCTCCTGTGCACCTCTAACGGCCCAGACCCCACCCTCCATAGTGCGCCCGCGGGCACAGCTGCACTCATGAGCCTTTCACATGGAGAGCAGCAAACACCAGCCCGCACTCGGGAAACACAGCCCAGAGTCACCCACTGGGGAGCCCACGCTGAGCCTGGGCCTGCACGGGGGCACATCTCACTCCTTGGAGCAGGAGGCTGAGGGACAGCGCAGGCCCAACACAAGACCGGGGGCAGCTCCGGGCTCCCAGGTGGCCAGGCCAGGCCCTGGAAACAATGGCCTGTGGCTGCGGAGCTCACACCCCTCCTGAGGGCTCTGGGCGGCTGGCCGTGGGTACAGTTTAGAGGGGTCTCCAGGCCAGTAAGCGAGACGCTGAGAGCGTGCGGGGCTGGGGGCGGGTGCCATTCTCCAGGGTAGGGGTGGGTGGGGCAGAGCAGGAGCTGAGCAGAGGGGCCCACGGGACTGGCTGGGTGACCAGCCGTCAGGAGAGCGGCATGAGGAATGGAGGAGAGAAAACGCAGCCACCTGGGGTGGGGTCAGGAGAGCAGAGGACTGCAGTTCCCACGTGGTCACCCTCAGCCAGGCAGAGGCTTCAGACTCTAGCCCTCTGGGAAGCCGCCAAGGGGGCTGGACAGAGACTGCCTGAGACCCGGGCATCGGGGCCCAGGGCCCAGGCCAGAGGCTGACCGGCCCCTGCCCGCAGAGGTGGACCTCCAGGACCTGTGTGTGGGGGCGGCCGAGGGTGAGGAGCTGGACGGCATGTGGAGCAGCCTCTTCGTCTTCATTGGGCTCTTCCTGCTCAGTGTGACCTACGGTGCCTCTGTCACCCTCTTCAAGGTGGGACCCTGCCCCTCTCCCAGAGTCACGGGTGGGCCGGGAGACCCAGCAAGATGTAAGGAGGTGGGCAGAGCCCCTCATGCACTCCCTCCGCACAGGTGAAGTGGGCCTTGGGTGCCATCCTGCAGGAGACACCCCAGACCACCCACGACTACGAGAACATCATGCAGCCAGAGGCCTGGGCACGGAGCGGGAGCAGCGCCCGCCTGGCTGCCTTCCTCCCTGCATCTGAGCGCCCCTGAGGCACCTGCTCTGCCCCAGCCGAGAGAGGAGCAGACAAACTCGCAAAGGGGCCAGAGCCAGGGACGCAACCACCAGTTCGTTGGCATCTGGAAGGTCCAGGCAGCAATTGGACCCGCCAGCCACAGCCCCACGCCCACCCCATTTGTCCCTTCCACAGAGAGGCCTGGGCTGGGCATGGGCAGGACCACTCTGGGCTCCCCCCAGGTCCCTGAGGTCGGGGCCACTCCCATTCTTACTGTACAACTCCTGAGACACAGCAAGGCCTAGAGCCCATGGCCTGGCCCACTGCCCAGAGACCAGAGCCAAACCGAGGACTTGGAGTCCAAGTCCAGCCCAGAGTCCAAGTCCAGCCCAAAGTATCACTCCTTAGACTTAGTCCGACCCTCCCTGACCTCAGGTCTGAGTGCCCAGCCCCTGTCCCTCCGCTCATCCTTCCTGCCGTCCACCCCAACCCCTGTCCCTATAGAATGTGCTGGCAGAGAAGCCCTTCTGGGGAGAGGCCCTGAGACTGTTTGGGGCAGTGGGCAGGGCCCAATGGGTGGGAGAAGGGGTCCCACAGCAGGAGGAGGGGCTCCCACGGGGTCCACACAGGGGCCCCAACCCCATCCACCATGGCCTCGTCCTACCTCTCACTCCTGGCTTGGCAGTTCGATTTCCTTCCTTTTGGGTTTCTTAGTAAAGTTCTTTCTTACAAATTCCATGTCCCCTGAGTGCTTTAGGGGAGGTACCTGTGGTCCCGTGAGGGTGGTCAGACGAGGGGCACTTCTGGGCCCAAAGGGTCCAAGTGGCCAGCTGCTGTCTGCAAGTGTTCCTTCGACGCCCCCAGAAACTCCTCGGCTTGGTCTCCATCACACCTGCTCGCTGGTCTCCAGCCCAGGCTCGCTGCCCCTTCCCACACTGACACAGACGCCACAGTCCCAAGCCCTCTGTGGGGCCACAGACAGACAGCTGCACAATCACCAGGTGGGGGCCAGTGTCAGCCACCCAGGACCACCGGTCACCTGCCGCAGTCCACCCACCACTGACCACACAGACAGGCCAATCCTGGGCCCCGTCCTCCCCCAGCCAGCCTGGACATCCCGGTGAGCTGAGTGAGACAGTCCAGCAAGCAAGAGCCAAGTGGGGCTGGCCACCATCGTCCTCGAGAAGGAATCTGGTGAGCCGGAGAGAGAGGCGCCACAGGCCCCCATGAGATGGCCAGACGGCCAAGGACAGCAGTGGGCACGAGGCTGTGCCCCTCCCCAGGATAAAGAGGCAGCTTCCCGGTGGGAGAGACTGCCCATGAGGGTCTCTGTGCAGCGCACTGGAAGTGGGAGGGAAATAAGTGAGCACACGGGGGGGAAGGGCAGGGTTCCCTCATATACAAAGAGCACTCAGGAGCCAATAAAAAGAGCAAAGTGAGCAGTGGGTCCTGTGCAGCAAGAAAGTCCAAGTGGCCAATAACAGGAAGAACATGTTTCAACAGTAACTAGAAAAGTTACAATAGGAAGAACCATGGTGGGTCTGAGCGTGCTTTGGGGTCTCACCCTGTCTGAGATGTGGGAGTTGTTAAGACCATTCTCCCGGCCCACCAGCCGCATTGCCAGAGTACAAATGCCCAGCCCCTTTGGGCAGGAGACTCCGCTCCTCCAGATGGCCCTTCAGAGAGCCTGGCCCCGTGCTGGGTAGCATCACACAGATGACACAGACAAGGATGGGAATGGCCTCCCACGGCCAGCATGCAGCCTGCCAGGGCCCAGACCTTGGCTCAGACCCTATACTTCACTGGAGTAGAAAGCCCAAGACTGGGCAACCCTGAGGCCTGTCCAGAGACGCTGAGGATGGGCCCAACAGAACACAGGTGGTCCTGGGACCCTGGGATCCTGGGCTCCTCAAAGCACCCAGAGGTTCTGAGCCTCCCCAGCCTCCCTGCCCTCTGTCCATGTTCTACCTGCCCTGGGCCCCCGGCCCCTGAAGAGCTGACCTCCCGCTGGGGCCCAGTGTCACTGATCAGCAGGTGTGCTCTCTGGAGGGGACAGTCAGTTCCTGTGTGTCAGTCCAGAACCTTCTGCATGCGCAGAAATGACTAGACAAATAAACACAGATGGAAACCAGGCCCAACTGCCCCTTGTGTGTCTGTCCAGGCCAGGCTGCCTCATGGACAGGGCATGGGGAGCAGTGGGGTCCATGGGAAAGCCCTGGGCAGGAAAATGAGCAGAGATGGACCAAGGCAGCATGTGGCCGCCCCAACCTGCGGGGATCCAGGTTCCCAGACAGGGGCAGCCTCATACCCTACCCTGGTTTCTATCTGGTCCCCAGCTGCTCACAGGGCTACTGCGGGAGGGCAGGCACTGATCATGCCAGGCCGGAGTGGCTCCCTCCTCCTTGCCCCACCCTGTGGCCTGCTCACTGGGGGTCACTCAGGACAAGCCCTGTGCCCCAATACCTCTACCCCACTGGCCCTCACAGCCTCCCCTCTAGGGTCATCGCGACCTCAGTGTCCCTCAGCCCCTAATTCATTGAGTTCGGCCTCTGCATCCCTGCAGCTCAGCCCCCAGCCCAGCCCTGTGAGCAGCCACCTGGAGACAGGACCCACCACAGCCAGGACCAGGCTCCTGGGGGGTCACAGCCCAGGCCACACACACCTGGCCTTGCCACAGCCAGACCACAGACCAGACATGACGTGCAGACGAGCGGCAGCGACTGGTGGGACAGGAAGTGGGCGAGTGACCCCATCTAGGGTCATGATACAGTCTGAAGCCCCTCCCCAGCCTGTCCCTCAGCATTAGCCTCTCATGAGTCAGCCAGGACCCAGCACGGGTCAGGGGTCTGCTGAGGCCACACAGCATCGGGCAGGGCCTATGGCCCTCCCTGCTCCAGCTCCAGCTCCCCTGCACAGGGCGTGAGGATGGACCTTCAGCCCAGGGAGGGCCTTGGTGGACCCTCCAGCAGCGCTGAGCAGGTGGGTCCTAGATGTGGTTAGGCCTCATGTCCACAGGCGCTTTGGGCCGTCCTGGGACCAGAGATGTGGAAAACAGCCACCAAGAGCCAAGAGGACCACGGGGCAGGGTGCTCCACTCAGAAATGAATGAGCTGCGATATTGTGGCCTTGTCTGAGCTGAACTGGGCTTAAATGGGATGAACTGAGATGAATTTGGCTGAGCTGAGCTGAACTTGGCTGAATTGAACTGGGCTGAGCTGAGCTGAGCTGAGCTGAGCTGAAGTGGGCTTAACAGGTCTGAACTGGGCTGAGCTGGGATGAACTGGGCTGAGCTGAGCTGACTGGACTGGACCGGACTGAACTGGACTGAGCCGAGCTGAGTTGGGTTGAGCTAGGCTGAGCTGAGCTGAGCTGAACTGACCTTAACTGGGATGAGCTGAACTGATCTTAACTGGGCTGAGCTGGGCTGAGCTGAGCTGGGCTAAGCTGAACTGGGTTTAACTAGGCTGAGCTGGGCTGGGTTGAGCTGGTGTGAGCTGAGTGAGCTAAGCTGAGCTGAGCTGAGCTGAGCTGGGCTGGGCTGGGCTGGGCTTAACTGGGCTGAGCTGGGTTGAGCTGAGTTGGGTTGAGCTAGGCTGAGCTAGGCTGAGCTGAACTGACCTTAACTGGGCGGAGCTGGGCTGGGTTGAGCTGGGCCAAGCTGAGCTGAGCTGGGCTGAGCTGAGCTGGGCTAAGCTGAACTGGGTTTAACTGGGCTGAGCTGGGTTGGGTTGAGCTGGTGTAAGCTGAGTGAGCTAAGCTGAGCTGAGCTGAGCTGGGCTGGGCTGGGCTGGGCTGGGCTGGGCTGGGCTTAACTGGGCTGAGCTGGGCTGAGCTGGGATGGGTTGAGCTGGGCTGAGCTGAGCTGGGCTGAGCTGGGCTGAGCTGGGCTGAACTGGGCTGAACTGGGCTGAACTGGGCTGAACTGGGCTTAACTTGGCTGAGCTGGGATGGGTTGAGCTGGGCTGAGCTGAGTGATCTGGGCTGAGCTGAGCTGAGCTGAGCTGAGCTGAGCTGGGCTGAACTGGGCTTAACTGGGCTGAGCTGGGCTAAGCTGGGCTGAGCTGAGCTGAGCTGAGTGAGCTGGGCTGGGCTGGGCTAGGCTGGGCTGAGCAAGCTGAGTTCAGATGAGCTGGGCTGAGCTGAGCTAGGATGAGATTAACTGATTTTAGCTGGGCTGAGCTGGGCTGAGCTGAGCTGAGCTGAGCTGAGCTGAGCTGAGCTGAGCTGAGCTGAGCTGAGTGAGCTGGGTTGAGCTGGACTGAGCTGGGCTGAGCTGAGCTAAGTGAGTTTGGTTGAGTCAGGTTGAGCTGGGCTGGGCTGATCTGGTTGAGCTGGGCTGAGCTGGGCTGAGCTGAGCTGACCTGGGCTGAGCAGTGATGAAATTGACTGAGCTAAACTGAGTGAGCTGGGCTGAGCTGAGCTAGGCTGAGTTGAGTGAGCTGAGTTGGGCTAAACAAGCTGAGCTTAGCTAAGCTGGGCTGACCTGGGATGAAGTGGAATGAAATTAACTGAGTTGAGCTGAGCTGGTTAGCAGTTGGTGAATGAGAGCAGGTGGGTTCAGTGTGGAAGGCCCGGAGAGCTCAGTTCCCCACCCAGGCTGCCCCCTGTGTTTCCAAGGGCACATGAGGGCCATGCAATCTCAGGTGTACCTGTGTCCCCTCTTCTTCCACCAGTGCCCCTGAAGGCAATTGAAAATATATAAGAGATGCCTTGTGTGCCCAGCCTGTCTAGGAGGGACATCTCAGAAGGGCTGATTTGGTTGGGCCTCTGGTCTCGAGAACTTCGTAGCCACGGGGTGGACCTCTGCCTGTTGGGGGGCTGGGATAGTGTTTGTAGAGTGGGGTAGTTCAACCTGGACCCTTACCAGGGAAGTTTAAATGGGACCCACAGAAGACTCAGGCCCCCTCTCCTCCCCAGTGTGCCCTCCAGGGCAGAAAAGCTGGCCCTCGGGGCAGGCTCAGCTTCAAGGCTAGACACCTCTGTGCTCACCTATGTCCCCCCTCTGGGCTCACCTTTCATGACCCCCAAACTCTGGGAGAGAGCATGGCCACGCCCACTGCACAGAGGAGCTGAGGCTCCAAAGGTGCCCACAGACTCAGCTGGCCCATGGAGAGCCATGTGTATGACTGTGACTCCACCCGGATGTGGCCTGTGTGAAAGAGCGTGTTCCAGTCCACGTGCTGGAGCTCTGAGCAGTGTGTTTAGAAACAACACAGCTGGACTTGAGGCCAGTCCCAACCCCAGGTTCCTGGCCTACGAGCTGAGTGACCTTGGGGCAGTCACTCACCCTCTCTGTGCCTGTTTCCCCAAAGTAGAGAAGAGGTGAGCATTGTTCCATCCTCGTGGAGCTGTCTCAGGGTCTCACAACATGTCCTGTGTTGCAGTGTCCCCGACCAGCCCCAGCCTCTTCCCACTGAGCCTCAAGAGCACTGACTCAGCCGACCACGTGGTCATCGGCTGCCTGGTCCACGGCTTCTTCCCACTGGGGCCCATGAATGTGACCTGGAGCCACAGCGGGGAGGGCACTTCCATCAGGAACTTCCTCCCAATGAAAACCTCCGAGGGCCTGTATACCATGACCAGCCAGCTGACCCTGCCAGCCAACCAGTGCCCAGAAGGCGCCACCCAGAAGTGCCAAGTGCAGCACAACTCCAGCCCCAGCCAGACCAAGGACGTGCCCTGCAGAGGTCAGAGGTCGGGCCAGGGTGGGGTGGGAGCCATCAGGTTTCCAGGGTGGAACCACGTGCCCCACTGGGGCTCCCCTCAGACAGGAGGGAGCACAGGCTGAGCCCCAGTGGGTGGTTAGGAGAGGGTGGGGGCTGGGGCCGGAGGGAAGGAAGGGGATGTGCAGGCCCCGGTATTCTGACAGCTCTGCCTCCCTCTCAGATAAGAAGTGTCCCGACTGTACAGCCTCATGCTGCCAGCCCAGCCTGACGCTGCACCGGCCGGCCCTCGAGGACCTGCTCCTAGGCTCCAATGCCAACCTCACGTGCACGCTGAGCGGCCTGAAAGACCCCCAGGGTGCCACCTTCACCTGGAAGCCCACAGGTGGAAATCATGCCATCCAGGTGACCCCTCAGAGTGACTCCTATGGCTGCTACAGCGTGTCCAGTGTCCTGCCAGGCTGTGCAGAGCTGTGGAACAGTGGGGAGAAGTTCACATGCACCGCCAGCCACCCCGAGGTCAAGAGCCCACTAACCACCTCCATCGCCAAAAACTCAGGTGGGCCCGTACCCCGCTCGAGAGGCACCCCCAGCACTCTGCGGTGGGCGAGGCACATGGCTAAGCCTGCTTCCCCCAACCCCTGGGGGCCCCACCCACATTTTAGAGATGGAAACTGGGCACAAGGTGCCCAGTGGGCAGAGGGGTTCTCTCCTCCCTGCTCAGACACCTGACCTGGCTCTTCTACCCCCAGGAAGCCTCGTCCCACCCCAGGTCCACCTGCTGCCGCCACCGTCAGAGGAACTGGCCCTCAACGAGCTGGTGACCCTGACATGCGTGGTGCGGGGCTTCAGCCCCAAGGACGTGCTGGTGCGATGGCTGCATGGAAACCAGGAGCTGCCCAAAGAGAAGTTCCTGACATGGGAGCCCCTGCCGGAAGCCAACCAGGGCAGCACCAGGTTCGCCGTGACCAGCGTGCTGCGCGTGGGCTCTGAGGACTGGAAGAATGGGGATAATTTCTCCTGCATGGTGGGCCACGAGGCCCTGCCCCTGAGCTTCACTCAGAAGACCATCGACCGCTTGGCGGGTAAACCCACCCAGGTCAATGTGTCCGTGATCTTGTCAGAGGTGGACGGCACCTGCTACTGAGCAGCC